ATTTTATATTTAATACATTTAAAATAAACGTATTTAAATTTCATTTCAATAATTCATTTTTTATTTAAAGCAATAACAATTTTTTATACAATTTTCATCAAAATCATATGTGAATTACAATTAATTAATTTTTTTCAAAATGTTTTCCTAATCTTATGTGATTTAAAACTTGAAAAACAATTATTCAAATTAAAAATTAAAAAAAAATAATGAAAACAAAATCATATGTGATGCGTAGCAAAACACAATTAAAATGTATAGATCACATGTACTATAAAACGTAATTCGTAAGTTATACATACTACGTGTAATATTGTAGATAACTTATAATTTTTTCCCACTATAATCAAGATCACACACGATACATTGACGAAAATTAACGATATTTTTTTTGAAAAAAAAACGTTGATTATTTATGGATATTACATATGATTTATGACGATAAAAAATTATTAAATAAACTACTTCAATAAAAACAAATATATTAAATGAAAAACTAAATCACACTTTTTTAAATGTTGTAAAAAATAAGAAGTAAATAGATCAAAAATTAATCATACTTAAATTACCAAAACTATAGAAAATTATGAATAAATATCTTAATTAAATGTATTAAATAATCTTTAAAGAAATAAATGAATTTCCACATATAATCTGTGTACAACAAATGATATATATGCCCTTTTGCGTGATCTTTTACAAAGTTTTATTTAAGATATTATTGAAATAAATGATTGACTTACAATTATACTCTTATTTTCTTAAATACGTATCATTCTCGTACGAACCTCTATCTATAAATATAATTACGAAGATGATGATGATGATGATGAGACGTAGTACTTTTAAGGTGGGCTATAGTTTTATTTTCATTAATAAAAGACCCTAAACAATGTAAAATTAGACCTCAAAATTTTTATTTAAAATCACAAATTTAACATGTTAAAGAATAAACTTGAATATGAAGTACGTCATGAAGATTCATCGACACCATTAGACTAAAAGCCAGTTGGTATATTAGGAAACAACCAAAAACAATGCAAAACGTAAATGCTTATGGAAACTATGGAGTTAACAATGAGAAAAATAATTAAGAGGATTCACGACAGTAGAATCTCTAAGAATCTTCTTACCAGATTTTTTCCTGTTAAATTATTGTCACTTCAACAAACTGAGAACCTTAATAAAACTTCACAATAAAGGTTCTTACAAAGACGTCACTTTTCATCTTCTAATTTATAAAATTGTAATTTTATTTATAGATTATTATATAAATTTAATATATATAATAATTTATTATACATGTATGCATCGATCCAGTTGATCAACATCTCAGTTGTAACCTTCATCTTCAACAATCATATTATGCAAAATTATACATGTATGCATAATATCTCTTAACTCTTCCTTACACCATGATCATGATGATATCGACCAATGAGATTGAAGCACTTCAAATGCCTTTCTTGCACCCTTTTATCATTGTTTTGACCAACTTTCTTTTTGCATCTTCTCGGTAAGGAAAATAATCTAAGCATGATAATATAACGAGATAATAAATAATATTAAACTTATTAATACAAAAACTTGTATAAAAATTAAAACAAAATTTAAAAAATTATTTTATATTTTTTTGTATCAATTTAATTTGTATGTTTTGTATATTTTATTAAAAGAAAATAAATGGTTATGAAATAATAAAAATAAAAAAGAAAATAATAACATAAAAAGGAATGTATACAAAGGACATGGATTCTTGTTCAAGCATATGAGTTTTAATAAGAGTCTTTGACTGGACAAAAACTTTTGTCCACAATGGAGATTCTTGTAAAAACTCCAAGAAGAACCTTCATTAGAACAGCCATAATGGTGAAACGTTCAAGAACCTTACTTTCTATATTTTTTCCTATATGTCAATAAAATAAGAACCCCAATAAAACTCAACAATAGAATTTCTTACAAAATCTCATTTTTATTTATTAAATATAACTTTATTTAT